TCAGTCAATCAATCAGTCAGTCAATCAATCAGTCAATCAATCAGTCAGTCAATCAATCAATCGAATTAATAATTTCGAAGCACAACATTTTTGACTGCTCCCTTTTTCAGTATGTTCACATTTGATGTCCTTCCACTTAAATCCTTGGCCTTCCCTCATCCCCCTCCTACGAAATAGATTATCCTTTATGCCCAAACTGTTTCAATAAATCAGCCCCTTTTTCAATATTTCAGCAACGTTTTACTTCTAAAGAGATGAATGCTTATTATGCTCGACCTATTTCATTTAAAAAGAAACACCTTTTTCAATGTATCGGCTTTTTTGCAATGCGTAATATTGCATCTTTAGTATTATTAGTATATCTATCATGTCTGAACGCGAAAGCTTCAAAGATACTGTCCTTAGTATTATTTAGAACTATTTCATTATCACTTAATCTCAATGTCAGTAGAGCTTTACTACTCTTCTGTGACCCACAAAATATGGCTCATTATCTCGTGTTTTGGCTTCTGGTGATCAAAATGAACAACGGCCTCTTTGAATGACCGCGGGGGCCAAGAGTTAGTATGAGATCTAGCGAAGGTCAAAGAATTCAAAACATCTGAATTAACTGTTTCCCACTCACAAAAGTGTGGAGATTGCTTCAAACGTGCCAAGGCAGGCCGTGAACAAACACACTGAAAAATCCTTAGTCCTGAATACGTTTGCAACTTCAACTCGCTATTTTTTACATATCGGCCAATGTGTAAGTAAGTATTAATAGTCAACAATGATTCAGAATATCTATTACTTTAACGACAAGTCCTTTTTACCTTAGGTAATTACCGCAACCTTTTATTATTATAACTCGATTTTTCTCAAGTAAAAGCGCTTGCATCTCACCAACGCGATCTCCTGTTGCTTCGAGGGTTTTTTTCCGGGTTATAACTCTTTTTTTTTTCTCCTTCTGCAAATATTTTATGAAAGCATACTACTCAAGGAAATGATGGAAAGACTGATGATGAAAAATGGCCCCAAGTGTAGGGTCTTACAGCAACGAGCCGCAACCTAACTCTAACTTTTTTTTTTACATCCACATTGCAAACCCCCCCCCCCCACTAGTATGCGATACTCTTGCCTTCCCCCAGGGGGGGGGGGGTGGCTAACCTAATGAGCGAAACAAAAACGGTAGTTTACGCTAAACTATTGTAAATTATTTCATAAAATCTGAAATCGGCTTATTGGTTTTTCAAGATGGAAGCGGACTAGACTATCGGCTCAAATCTTATCATTTTGGGTGTCATTACGCAGTATTCCATGTGAACATGAGGTCTGTTTAATGACTTCTTAGAAGATTGCACGCAACTTTGATCAGTCGATAAGAAACAGGAAAAACATCGGAGAAAAACTCGAATTATTTTAATCTTTGAGTGACAGCTTTTCACGACAAAATGATTCACTAATTTCTTGTTTAAATATTAAATCCTGTAAAAAAAACGTCTTTTGATTAATTTTTACCTAGTTTGAATAGGTTTAATAGATATATGAGCTTCAAATTAAAAGAAGTCGTCGAGGACTGTATTAAAGGTGTTAGGGGACAACAAAAGTTTTCAATTTTATATTTACTCAAACGCAAAGACATCAAATTCACCAGGAAAATAATTGTCAGAGACTTCACACTTTCAATGACAGAAAAACAAGAAGCGGAAATTGAAGCAGTTAATCGTGAAGTTTCTAATCACATGTGATTACAGGTCGAAAGTCGTGACGAAAAGGGTCGATTTCAAGAAGTATTCGCCTGTGTATCATGCAGTATGATTCTCATTCAATATAAATTGACCTTCTTCTTGAAAATTGGCCATACCCCAGAAAACTATTTCATAATATGATCGAAATAAATTTCAACACCAAACCATAGATAAACAATTCATAAAGCACTTTATATTTACATATATTTGGGGTCATATCAGCGAAAGACCGTAATGAACTAGAACTAAGAAATTCCCAGTAGCTAGATTGTAATCTTAGAAGAAGAAGTAAAATACAAGTTAGAAAGGATTTAAATTACAATTGTATTCATCTCAAATTGATTGCGGTTCAATTTAGTTAATAGCTATTTATATTAGTGTTGCTAAAGAGAGGACAAATTCTGACGATGCTGAACGATAATCTCGGATAAAAAAACATCTATGACACAAGCAAAAATAAATATTTTTCATATCTAAAGACTAAATATGTCAAGCCCCTATGACATGTATAAAGATCTTTTTTACCTCGTGCAATATTCTGAGCCACGTACTGTGAGAGGTTCAAGATGTATTATTTGGCATATCTTACAGTAGCCCCTCTATTGTGCACCATATTTCAACTCTGAATGATAGATATCTTGCCATATTTTAAAGAAATATTACAATAATCTTCTAATGAAAGTTGCATAAAAATCCCTGGTTTTAGGCGACGCGTGCAAACGTAAATTGACTTTATCTCGTCAGTTCAGAGTTTGACAAAAACTAAAAAGTGAATAATGAAGACATTATAAAACGTCAGCGAACCGTTTCGAGGACAAACAGCTACACTAACTTATCTTAAAACAATAGTATAAATAGATCTAGTTCAAAGAGTATATCCAAAATATTACATATCATAGTTTAAAGAGAGCAACATGGAGTAATATAGATATACCTTTACATGGCGTAATCACTACCAGAACGAAGTAAACCAGAAGTGATGAAGCAGTCTTCAAATGACGATGCATACTCAGTTCGCTTCCAGGAGCCTTAGATCTCGTCCACCGCAACACAGTTATGAAGCGAGCAGCTCAATTGATAGAATAATGCTTTCTTTTTGGAATTTAATTAGAAGTTTCCTTGGATATCGTAAGTTTTAATGCTGACTGCATTTCTCAACCAGCGGAAATAAGTGTTTGAAGTCACTCTCGTTCAGTTGTCATTTATATCACTCGACTGTGGCGAAGGTCGTGGAGTCAAGGCGTGGACGGAAATTACGTCACGTAACGACACAAAAATCTCAAGGTGCGAGACAAAGTTGGTTCCAAGTTGTTACTCGAGGTGTCTGTCGCGATTCCAATAAAAAAAATTATTAGAGAAACTTGCTTCTAAAGTATAGCAAAAAATAATAACGTGCTCAAGCGAATGTTGGGTAGGAGATGAATTCAACCACCCGTTGTTGCAATTGCAAATTAACGAACACCAATTTGTTCAATTTTCAATTCGGTGCCCAGGGTTTCTAAATCAATCTTTCCCGGAAAGGATAAGCCCCTATAGTTCAGGTAAAAAAGTTAGAAATTAAAGAAACTATTTTCTTGAAAATTTGATAATAAAATTATATTGAATAGTGGGCGTCTTTTGATGATGAAATGAAAAGTAGAAATTAGTCCTTTTAGCAAATATATACACTATTTCATTATCTTTACCGTACATTATTAGAAAGCGAAAATGATTTTCGGAACGTCCAGCTGCTTTGATTCTACCTACATCCTTAGTTGATCAATTAGCTAAGAACTATAACTACCATTTTATATTTGAGACGTTGAAATTCTATGACTGAATTGGAAAAAGTTAACGAACAGTTCCAGAGAGAAGTTTCCATATTTTCATTTAAGTCGAAATTATATATTCACCTAAGTTTGATTAATTATAATTTGAATACCTATTATCTATATAAACTATTAATGAAAACTTATCAGTTAAGAAAACACAAATTGCGAAACTCTTTAATTATTTGAACGCTATGTTATATTTAGCACGAAGATGATGGAAATAGTCAGTTCTCGAAGCGGGAAACGCTGAAGCTGAAATTCAGTCGTTCTTATTGTTCTTTGCTTCACTGACCGTTGTGTCGTTTCCTTTTCAGCTCTTTTCAGTTTACCACTTGACGAAATGTTTGCTTAGGTAATAGGAACTCCTACTTTTGCTTTCAGTTTTTTTTTTTKTTTTTTTTTCCCAGTTTCGATCCCCTGCAATGCTAGCCTGCTTATCGTACACCCACATGAAAAGAGAAGCATTTTGACAGGGTTTCGTTCGACGCCTACTATTCGCCCATCAAGGCTTCACCTGAAGCAGATGTACCTTCTGATTCGAAATTTCTTGTTAATGATAAAACTCTACTGAATTAAAGATCATGGACACGACAAATATTTGCATTTATGTCCTTTTCAAAAATCTCCAACACAGTTGTCTATTTTTCAGACCAGCTATCTTGCCATCAAGACTTCTATTTGACTGAAATTCAATTCAATTTTCTCATTAAATTTAAAAATTAATTATTCTTTAAGCTAGAAAATTTCAACTTGGTATTTTTATAGAAAAAAACACGAATTTCTTAATTTTAGCGTTCAAGATGACGTATTCATATCAATTGCGCAAAATTTAAGTAAGCACTGGAGAAGAATAATGGTATATTTACAAATAATAAAATTGTTAATTAAGATCCTGAGCGGATTGTTTATCTTTCGATAAAAGAAAAAATGATTATTGTGGGTTTTTGGAGTTTAATCTTCTTATGATTAGAATATTTGATGGCGTTGAGCAGTTGTAAAAGCTTGTCATATTTAGTATTTTATTTGGTTGATTTTGGTTCATAGGACGTTATATTTCTTTTTTTCTTTTTCTTTTAATTTTTTTTTTTGTCTTCCTACCCTCTCTCGACTTTTACTCCAAACATTTTCCTATTTCTCTAAGTAAGGCTACAATTTGTCCTTTCTAACTTCTGTCAAATATATCAAAAATTTAAGCTAGCTTTTTCTTTTTCAGTTTTCTTTTTCTTTTGGGAAACAATTGGACCTGCTGACGTTCAAGCGAATACCATTTATCGGTACCATCTATTCACCCGCATCGATTGATCATATTGATGTAATCATTAGCAGGTAATCAAGAATATCACGTGTTCTAGCTGGAGTTGACCTTGGTTCAGTGACGATGGTTGTTGTTTTTTTTTCCCTTTCTATTCACTATCTAGTAGATCAAGTGTAAACAACGGCTAAGGAAAGGTTGGGGAGAGGGGGAGGAGAGTCATCAGTGAAAAATTTGACTTTTTTGGAGGCCCTTTTTATTTTGATAAAAGACAGGGAGGGCCACAACCATTTTTAAATAGTCTACTGTGAATCCCCCAGCCTCTTCCTCACCCCCCCCCCCTCCCCCCTAAAAAAAGAAATGTAACTTCCCTAAAGATTGTGTGTGCAGTCGCTTTTAAAGTACTATTTATTATTTACTAATTTTTTACACGCTAACTGGACTGCAGCAAGCATATGCTAAAATAACAACGATATGACGCTCAAATTAAACCACACATTAACTTAATGAGCCGAGAAAAGTTCCGGGAATAGGAAAAAAAGCTATCTGGACTGAGCAGCTTGGCAACTGCGATGCATAATAGCACGCAGTTTTAAAAGGTTTTAGTCATTACCTTTATCAAAATGCGTACGTGTTGGGCTGAGGGTAATACTTCACTTAATTGCCCTATTTTACTATGACGTCACTGCTTGTTATGTGGGGGATAAAATCGCCAAATCCAATAGAAAATTCAACAACATTTGCTCCTAGCGAAATAGTTTAATCTAAAATGGCCTGGTTTTCAGATATAACATGTGTTAATATGTACTAAAAAATATATTCTGAGCGTTTGCTGGCTATTCTACTTCTCTTACTGGATTGATACAGGTTTTAGAACAATTTTCGGTGAATTTGCGTTGATCTGACCCCCGACGACGACCATGATCCTTTGCGTTTAAACAATAGATTGTTTTGATGTGACGTCATAGTGAAATAGGGCAAAAAAACTCGTTTTGCATTTAATACTAGGTTTCTGCGTGCGTTCATCGCGTCACATCCCTGATTGAATGTTACAATGAGGAAGACGGGTTACTGAATGAGCGGGCTGCAGAATTTCAAAGGAAATAGTAGGCAACACAACAAAAGCAGGTTTTTCAAGCTCTTGTGTTGTGTCGCAAGCGGTGAGAGTACTGAGACTAAACATGCGGTATAAAATAATGAAAGGAAGCCGTCAAAAACAGCTTACTCATCAGCACAAGCTTTCAAGTGTCTTATATGGAATAGAAAAGTCAGTAATTGAATCCTAATCTGACAGTGACGGCACTCCGTAAACATTTCGTTTTTCCCCAGTCATTATTTCCTGAACTTTTCTACTGTTTCAAATCCACTCAAATGATAAAATGATCAAGCATCGAGTTCACTGATTTATCAAAATGAATCTTTTTTCCAATCGATTGGCTCAAAGAATGAATTACAGTTTAATTACGCTTTGAAATTACAGACTTTAATTGGAAGATGTGAATGTTCAGCCATAGCAAATGACGCTCTGCACCGATCGAGAATAAAGGATTCGAAACTGGAGTACATGGACTTACAGTGTCATGCAGAACACCGACTGAACAAAAAGGACGAAAGTGAAACAGGAACTTAACACTTAATCACCCACATCAGTGGTTTCATAACCATCACAGACAATGATAGAAATATAAGGAGTGGTGGTTGTTGAAAAAAATTTAAAGAGAAGAAAGGGAGTTAAAGGGAAGGGAAGTAGAAGAAAAAAGGATAGAAAAGTAATATTATTATCATATATAAAAAGAATTAAATCGAAACAAATGGAGTAGGCGATGGAAATTCAACCTGGAAAAACTCTGGCATGAAGCTTAACCTGGGACGTACTGATGAGAACAATATACTCAGCTTGCTTTATGAGACCTGATTAGGTTTATTGCCCACTACATAACCAATATGATTCATTTATTACGATTATTATTATTATTATTATTATTATTATTATTATTATTATTATTATAGGAACATAAAGGACATAGACTTGGATGTTGAGACTGCAAATGCAGCAATTAACTATACTTAAAAAATATATATATAAATGTTTGCCATTATTTTTTTTTTTAACATATATTATTAGGATTAGTTTTTACTAAATAGATTTTATGGTTATACATTAGTAGATATATTTTTATTATAGTAT